CGACGACGACGACGACGACGACTGCTACGACTGCTACGACTACGACTACGACTACGACTACGACTGCGACTGCGACTACGACTACGACTACGACTACGACTACGACTACGACTACGACTACGAGTACGAGTACGAGTACGACTACGACTACGACTACGACTACGACTACTACGACTACGACAACAACGACTAGGACTAACTCGGACCAGGACCAGGACTAGGACTACCATTACCATTGCTATTACTATGACCATTGCTGCTACTGGTGCTAGAGCTAGTACTAGGTGGCAAGAATCAAAGAGCTGTTAATTCTCGATCTTGAGATCGAGAATTTCTGCTAGGCTTCGAGATAGCGTAAGTAGCCTAAGCCTTAAACAAACGCAGCGGCTCTAAAGTTGATCTCGCCGAAGGCGTGGCCAACTGTTCCGCAAGCAGCCCCCATGGCAATGCCGCAGGCCTGGGTCGTGAAACATTTCAGAGAGGTTTTCGCCCCTTTTGATCTCACGCTTCCGACGCCCGTGTTTCTTCGGTTGGCCCCCTTGGTGGCGTACTTGCTTGGCAGATCGACACAGTCAGACAGGTTTTTCTGCTAATGTTACACATCTGAGAACAAGTGCCATTTGCAAGCACTCCGTGTGTCGCTTTCTTTTCGGACAGACTGGCAGAACGACATGAAGCATCATGAATTCGGATGTCATCTGGACTCCCGGAGGTTTGGCCACAAGTTGCACAGGCGCCACCGGTGGCGATGTCACAGCAGCCACAGGTCCGTGCGTCTTGGGGTGCGTCTGACACCTGGATGTGAAGTGCATCGGGCTGGGCATGAGGGCAAGTGCATTGCAGCCCCTCCTCAAAAAAGTGGGACTGGCAATCGTAGTGGGGAAGACAGCAGTTGAAGACTTCGTCATTTTTGTACGGCCGCGACGACAAGAAGAACATGACCAGTTACAACAGCAAGAACCGATAACAATTGCTGTAGGTTGATAGCGACAGCTGCAGCTACAACTGCAACTACAACACCTATAACCACAAAGCACGCACCACGATTCTTGCTACTCACTGACGACTAACCACTGACCACTAGCCAGGAAGGCGAACGACCAACCACTAGTTTCTCGAATCACTATTCACTAACCATTCACTACTGACAAGCCATTCGCCAGTATCCGCTAAGCACTAAGCACGACATGCTAGCTACTAACTCCTAACCACTTCCTGCAGAGGCTACTTAGGCGCCGTAAATAACTTGGACAAGCCAGACGGCTACTACTCCCGGTGCTGCTAAAACGGCGGAAGGCCGCGCCTAGCAGTGCCTGGCCCTGGCCAGCCCCGGTCTGGAGCCTGGTTTAGGGTTGTAGGGGGCGTTTCCCAGGCATGGGGAGGTTTAGGTGTCTTGAGGGGGTGGAGGGTTTTTGGGGTTCCTGGGGTTCATGTTGCAGTCCTCGCGCGGTTTCCTGTGAGCTTCCAGCGTCTTGCGATTTTCCCGACAGGTCGCCTGCTCCATGAAGCAGGGTTTCAAGAACCCGCGTGTGAACCGCCCACTGTTCTTTTACGTTCTTCTGAACCCGAAAGGCCGAAGCCCCGAAACATGCAGGGACCTGCAGTCCTTGATGCTTTGAGCGAAGGTCCGAGTGTCGGCATGTGATTGAAATCTCTGAGGTGCAAGGGTATGCTCCCTACATGTCGCCTGGCGGCAGTGTCGGGAAGGGGCAGCCAACCAGGAATGGCACAATCTATGTGCGGCGTTATTTCCGCCCAGACAGCCGGAAAAACTCGGCATGCCGTAGGATGTCAATTCGCCTCGGCCCTGCCAATCGAGGGGCGACAGCCAGTGGCAGCATGAATGGAGTAGTCCCACTGGTACGCCCGAAGGTGAGACGGGGGTGACCTGTTAGGATGTTGGACCAAGGACGCACGTAAAGTGTCAATTGAACAAACCTGGAGTCCTGAATGTCTTGGGGTTTAACTTACAGGAATTTCTTTTACTCCTTTGCTTGGCGAGCTGGAGACGAGGGACAATTAGGTTGCATCGTGATGCATCGTGGGGTTAAACCCCACAGAGTGAGGATGATGACCGTAGCACTCTGTAGCGGCTTCCCGCGGCCTCTGCTATCGGCCCTGTATCCTTCCTACGCTAAAGTAAACGACTCTTAGAGCTCCACTACGGAACTTCACGGGGGCGAAGAGGCACAGTTCACACACAGCAAGAGCATTATTTTTGTAAAGGTCCTGCAGCGTTTTATGCTGCGACTCCTTGGAAGTAAACGTCTAAGTCCTCGCAGACTCACCAGGTCAATGTCGTATGAGCTCCCAGAGCGTTACGGCTAGCACGTCCCCAGCGAGCTCAAGTATCCTATGCCGGAAACCTAGTAAGGTTAGACCAAGGAATGAAGGAAGCAAGGAACCCGAAAAAAAAACCCATGGTTCCCCAGCTCAGGCCAGGATTTCAGATGGGTGCCTGGCGCTAGTCGGCTGCGGCGCTGCAAGTGAGGGGAAAACCGGCAAAGTTGGGACGTCTTGCGCTCAAAAAGGAGATTCCAAGCGGAGCCTGCCCCAAACCCACGGCATTCTCAAGGCGAAGCTCCCCTATCCGCCGCTATAAAAGACGAAAGATGAGGGTCCCTTCAGGGAGAAGAAGGATGGGTGGTGCGGAATCATTGAAACATGCCCGACATCATCCCAAGCATGCGTTGTAAAATGCTGACCTTCAGCCCCTGTGCCCTGAGTCTAGGCGTGTCTTGAAGCCATCGCAGTCTCAGTTCCTGGCCCCCAGCAAAAGGAAGCTAAGGCCCCGCCTCAAAGAATCCGAAATCTGGGCATCTTGAACCTTTCGAGCTCGGAGGTGATCAAGGAGAGGGTCAAGTACAACGAAGTTGTTAGCTTCGAGGATGCCAGGGCCTCGTTCAAGATAGTTCAGGAATTTTCAAGATACTTTATATAGGGTTACATTACATGCTTTACCGTAGTGAACATTGCGACGTGGTATTGCGCTGACCGGATGCTTTACTATTGCATGTCTTTCTCAGGCTGGGCACTGCAACATGACATCGCCACGCCATGTTTTTGAGTTTGTAATTAAGCAACTTCCGGTATCCGGATCATGCAAGAACACGGTCATAGACATCACCTAGCTGCATCTGAGGCAGTAAACCGCTGTTTGCTGAGATCGGCCCTGGATAAGGAAAACGCCCTCGTGTTGTATGTGACCTGTTGCGGTGTGTTATGACTCAGCAGGGTCCGACACTGTGGAATCAGCCTCCTAGCTGTCCCGGCCGGCCGAACACTTCACCCAAGCGCTTCAAGCTAAACATAGCCTCGAATATAATTCTGTGTTATCAATCAGCACCTAGCGATATCCACCCCTTGTCTTTATAAGGGAAGTTATCCTGATTACTGCTACCACATGTATGATGTTTAGCACGAGCCCTCTGACATGGCCCAACATTCCACGCCATTGTTTGTTGCGTTTCGGGTGTAGCACTTTGGACGCAGATTCGATGCTATTCTGCTTTTATTGTCGCGGGTCCGTTCTATCTCTCCCGTTACGCAAAAGAACTTAGGTTGAACCAAAGCTAGACGAAGCTTGCTCGACTGCAGCAGGAAGAGACGGTGAGACGGATTCACCTGAACTACCGACTGCTGTATCTCAAGGCCCGGTGGTTCAGCGTTTGAAAGCGCCAACCATAGACTCATAAATTTAAAACCCTTAAACCCAAATCTTTCAAAACCCGCTAGAAGGAGGGACTGCAATTGTAGAAGAGTTTGCAACCGTCGCGTAAGACAAGGTCTTTCAGTGTAGTTTATTGTTCTCAAAGTCCAGATAGCATTATTCTTGGGTTCCTTGGCTCTTCTTGTCACCTTGGTAGTCGCTCAAAGTGGGTGTGTGTGTGTGTGTGGGCAGCAAGCTGACTGATGCAGGACATCGTTCTTCCACGACAGCTTGATGACGCCGGCAGCCTATGGAAACTCCTGATGTGTTAACTCCTTCATGCTGCCATGACTCGGCATGGCTTCTGAAGCTATCCTGCAGCTCCGAGATGAGTCGACAGAAGCAACCTCAATTTTGGTTGCGTGACTTGTTGTTGCTAGGCCGGTGTAAAAACGCCTGGGCTTTTGAGACAGCCGTCCAGAGCCGCCGAATTTGATGCCAACATATGCCGAAGCAACCGGTATTATCGTTGCCATAATCACCATGAACATCATCATTAATGGTTTCGTTTTAGTAGTGGTAGTGGTCGTGGTCCTGGTCGCAGTAGTAGCAGTAGTAGTAGCAGGAGGAGGAGGAGTAGTAGTAGTAGTAGCAGCAGGAGGAGGAGGAAGTGTTGCAACACAGTTCCATGCAGAAACTTGTGGGGCAAGACAGTGGGGTGACGGGGTGTGTCTCGCTCCTTTCAAAGGCAGCTTTCGCTTCCTTGCAGCAACTGATCCACACAAACCTGACGGCCCTGCGCTTGGGCAGAGTCTGGTGGGATGCTTGGGGTTTGGGACCTGCGGTGCGGGACATCAGGATCTGAACAGCCGTTTGGTTTGCCGTTCCCTGCAAGACCTGTTGCTTCTTTTTGCTTACTGCCCCGAAATGAGATAAGATTTGCCGTGAGATGGGATGAGGTGAGCTTGTCGCTGTTGCACCTGTGCAGCCCTTTCGAGTCCTCAAGCACTCTCCATCCCCTTTCTGCAGCCTTCCGCCATGCGCGAGCTCGTGCACGTTCAGGGCAGCTTGTTCTTTCTCAGTCTTTGTTTGCCGTGCTTTCTTGCGGGTTCAGCCGCATGACGGTACAGGGTCGAAACACGGAACTGGAGCTCAGAATTAGGGTTGTTGGTTGCTTGAAGGTGAGACAGTGAAACTTGTAACCATCGGGACTCTGCCGCCAAGGCCAAAGCGCTAAGACCACAGCTGGAAGACAACACTCTTACGTAGGTGGCCAGCCTCGTGTTACGGTTAAGAGCGGACGGATCACCTTTTCCGCCGCGCCTTGCAAAACTGGGAGGGCCAAACTGCAAGTTGCTGCTTGCGAAATGGGCCTGGCAGTATTGCAGAAAACACGTGCCTGCCACCCTGTCTGGGGTTCATCGGGAGGCATAGCCTGATGACTTGCCTACCTAACTACGGGGCTAGGTTGCTGGCAGGCAAACGTTTGTACTTAGGTGGCCAATGCGGAAATCAGATCGGAGCGAAGTTTTGGGAGGTCATCGCCGATGAGCATCTAGGTGGCACTTTGGGAAACCTTCATTAGTTCCTTTGCGGTCCTATATGGAGGTACCTGTTCATGATAATTATTGGTCCCGATAATCGTAACTATAACCAGATTCCTTAACACACTCACCCCCAAAAAGCCCTAAACACCAAAGCCTAAACCCTAAACAGCCCCGAGCCAAAAAGCCCAAAACCATCCAAAACCCCAAGCCCAAACCCACAAAAAGCCCTAAAGCCTAAGCCCCTAAACCCTAAACCCTAAACTCGCTCAGCCATGTAGGAGGCACGGCCCTAAACCAGCACATTGAGGGCATTTCGCTAGGACCAACGCGACATTGGTTGCAGGGCTTGTTGCAAGCTATCCTCATACAGCTCCCCACCAGAGCGCGCTTGTAACATTTTGTTCCTCGACTCCGTGGATGTGCACCTTTTTTTCCTGTATCGTAGTTTAGTTCCCTGCAGTGCGACGCAGTCAGCTAGGCGGGTGGGAAAAAAACCCTAAACTCCCAGGCATGGCATTGACCCGACCGGCACCTACCACGGTGACTCCGACCTCCAGCTCGAGCGCAACGCGGCTTTAAGGTTTAGTAGGGTTTAGGGTTTAGGGTTTGGGGTTTAGTTCAAAAGGGTTTGGGGTGTTTGGGGTTTAGGCGTTCGGGTTTAGGCTTTGGGGTTGGAGCTTTGGGGTTTAGGGTTTNNCTGCGCGCTCTTGCCTTAAGACGGGGTGAGGGTTGCATGGGCGCTGGCCGGCACCTCAGTCCGTGCTGAAAAGGGTCCACAGCTTTTCCTGCGTGCTCTTGCCTCAAGACGGGGTGAGGGTTGCATGGGCGCTGGCCGGCACCTCAGTCCGTGCTGAAAAAGGGTTAGCCTTAAGGGTCGGAATCACAACAGTCGTAGTTCGACAGTTGGGAACCTCCGTTAAATTTTGATCGTTAGCCCGCACCACGACGACTTGTCAATCTCCACGAGCCCAGGCATCAACGTCTACTTCAACGAGGTCGCACATCTGTGATTTCGTGCATGTTCAGATTAAGGTTTTGGGATTTCGGGTTTGGGGGTATGAGGCTTTGGGCTCAGGCTTAGGGTGTCGCGCGGTGCAGCTTCTACGTGTCTCCTGCTTGAGGCGACAGGTGGCCGCTACGTGCCGCGTGCTGTGCTCATGGATTTGGAACCAGGCATGCCGACGGTGGGTTCTGATCTTCTTTGCTCAAACATCAAATCCTGAGCCTGCACATTCTTGTTGGTTCTTGAGGATCACCCGAACTAAGCAGATCCAACCTCGCGCGAAAACTTCTACCCGCAGCATAAATCTAAATTCACCTGTACTTGTTGTTGAGACGCGGTAAATGCGAGAGCACGAGTTCTCAGAGTTTTCTGCGTCGCACGAGCCGCAAAGCGTCAATCGTCGCAAGGGTTTGTTCACAGCAGCACGGGAACTGCAACAAAATGGGGATCAGCATGACTGAAATGGCAGTCGGATCTCAGACTGTCCATGTGATGTTCGCAGCCTTGCTTCTGCATAGAGCATTGGGGTCATGAACAAAGACCGGAGCAAGAGAAGAGAAATAACGCCTTTCAGGCTTCGGGAAGCTCGGGGTTCGACGTGCGACATTTGTTGTCGAAGCCGCTGCCAGGCACCATGGACTCCGTGCGAGCCGGACCTTTTGGTCAGCTCTTCCGTCCGGACAACTTCGTGTTTGGCCAAACAGGAGCTGGAAATAATTGGGCCAAAGGACGCTTTGTTCTGAAGGAGCAACCTATTAGAATTTTTCTTGAAGACTCCTACCTCCGGGAGAAGAATACCTGTGATTTCTCTTTCACTTTTGTTTTTGCTTGAATGCCCTTAACCCTACACCCTAATCCCTGAGCCCGAATCCAAGAACCCTCAAACCTAAGTTTGAGCCCGAAGAGCCCAGGACACTACACCGAAGGTGCCGAGTTAATCGACTCGGTGCTGGATGTGGTGCGCAAGGAAGCAGAGGGATGCGACTGCCTGCAGGCCAGGGGGCGGGCAGCGGCAGGGTTGGACGTAGCCCCTGTGCATAAGCAATGTCAATCTTTCCGATCCGCTCTTCCGTCGCTGTTTTGCGACCTCGAATTGCTCGAAGACAAGGCCTTGTCCAGAAAAGGACTCGCCGCCCGTTTGCAGAACACTCGATTCAACGGCCGGAAAAGTAGCTCCAGCAGCCTCCCGCACCCTAACTGTATACATCATTGTGGCCCGCAGGGTTTTCAGCTCTGCCACTCTCTCGGTGGCGGCACCGGCGCGGGCATGGGCACGTTGCTGATCTCAAAGGTGCGAGAGGAGTGCCCAGGATGCAGAGAGGACCCAGCGGACAAAAGCCATCATAACGCGGCTTTTGCCCCGATCTAAGGTACCCTGATCGAATCATGGAAACATTCTCTGTGATTCCATCCCCAAAAGTTTCGGACACAGTGGTGGAACCCTACAATGCCGTGCTGAGCTTCCATCAGCTGGTGGAGAACTCCGACGAGTCTTTCTTGCTGGACAACGAAGCTCTTTATGACATCTGCTTCAGAATCTCGGTCAAGGTGCAACCAGAGACATTTACACTTGTAGGAAGCTTAAAACAGGAAGCTTTCATAAGCTCAAACTATCTTAAACTGATCTTACCGACTTAGCCTTTATGGAAGCTTCAGAGACCGTTTAGGAACCTTGAAGCTGACGACCCCCACGTACGGCGACCTGAACCACTTGGTCTCGGCTGCCATGAGCGGAGTGACCTGCTGCCTCCGATTCCCGGGACAGCTGAACTGCGACCTGCGCAAGATTGCAGTGAACCTGGTGCCCTTCCCTCGCCTGCACTTCTTCATGACTGGCTTCGCTCCATTGACCTCCCGCGGCTCTCAGCAGTACCGTGCCCTGACCGTGCCCGAGTTGACCCAACAGATGCCACGAGGATCCTGTTGAGTACGTGTTATGCTTTGCTGGCAAAGGTCTCCACCCTTATCCTACCTCCAAGAACCTTAGATCCCAAAAGAACCAGGTTCGATGCGAAGAACATGATGTGTGCCGCCGATCCCCGGCATGGACGCTACCTGACGGCAGCCGCCCTCTTCCGTGGCCGCATGTCGACGAAGGAGGCAGGTGATGATGGGGTGAAGACAGCATCATCTTGCCTTACACTCATACCCGCAGGTCGATGAGCAGATGCTGAACGTTCAAAACAAGAACTCCTCCTACTTCGTGGAGACTCGGCAGGGTGTTTTGTGGGATGGGATTTCGGCCCCCTGCAAGAGGACGTGAGCTCGTTCAGAATAGCGCTGCCTTATTGAGCACCACGCCTTGCCTAAGCCGGACAGCCGCAACATCCAAAGCTCTTGGCCTCAGCCCCAAGGGCTCCCCTGTTGAAGCAGTCGAGGGCCATCACTGGAAGACTGCGGGCTTTGCTGTCTTACCTTTGCCACTTTTCCACTTCCAGAGTTTTGATATTCGAGATGCCGAGGAGTGGATCCCCAACAACATCAAGGCATCCGTTTGTGACATCCCGCCGAAGGCGCGTTTTGGTGTAGCAAGACGTTAAGCAGCGCACGAAGAAGTGTCACGGCCAGTAATCGCACATGAGACAGTGATGTGCCTGTCTTGCCGCTGTGCTCTGCCAGGGACTGAAGATGGCGGTGTCCTTCGCCGGCAACTCCACCGCCATCCAGGAGATGTTCAAGCGCGTGGCAGAGTACTTCACGGCCATGTTCCGCCGCAAGGCCTTCTTGCACTGGTACACCGGCGAAGGCCACGGCATTTGCAAGATGTGATGTGCCGATATGTGCCCTTACACGAAGAACGAGTGTAATTATGATTGTGTAAGTAGGCCATCAGCTCTGCAGAAGAGCGTGATCCTTCGTGATCCCCGCATGCTTCCAGGCATGGACGAGATGGAGTTCACCGAGGCAGAGTCGAACATGAACGACCTGGTGTCTGAGTACCAGCAGTACCAGGATGCTACCGCCGAGGAAGAAGGTGAGTTCGACGAGGAGGAGGGCGAGTATGACGGATAGGCTCATTGTGACATGGGAAGAGGCCTCCCTGAATATCTCGGAGGCCTAGGCCCGTGTGCGTTCCCGGCCATGGTTTCTCCGTTCGCCCAACCTGAAAGGCAAGCAACTCGAGGCTGTTGTGTTGAGAGGTATTTCGATTCAGGGTCATGGTCGTGTTGTGGCGGCGAGAAGCTGGATCCTGATTGCCTGTTGCTGCATCTTCGAACCTTGTGTGCAAAAGGCCTTCTTGTC